CGCTTTAGTTCGGTGTACCAGATGAGTGACGATGATTTCCAGTGGCAGTTAGAATTCACTGAACAACACCCGATCAGTGGTTCGAAAATTCGCCACCTATGGAAATGGTCGGTATGTGTTCTTACTCGGTAATAAAAGGGTGAGTGCCTTCGTTTGGTTGCGAGTCAATCCTAAACTAATCAATATCCATTTTTTACACTACGCTCTTCCAAACTTCACCATGTTCGGACATCAATGACCCTTTCGAGTTCAGGAGAACTACTGTAACATTCCAGACTAATCGCGACGATCGTATACATTATTCTCAATTTGATTTAGAATGTATTGATTTATTTCTGAGTGTGAAAACACGCTATCCTTATAAAAGGACTTCAGGTTCGTTTGAATTCACAAGTTGAGGACTTCAGGCCACGTTTATATTGCGCGATCCGAGCGACCGGATATGATCGTGTATGAAGTATGAACGCATTCTTAAACTGATCGCGGGGGGAGGGGCTGAGGGCTGAACCGCTTCATGCTTGTCTGCTCCCTCAAGTGATTCAGTTACATCCGCCAAGCACTAACGTCGAGAAGGCGCATACAGGCAAGAAACGAGCCCAGCACAATTTCTTCTACAGCCCCCTCCAGCTCCCTGGGGGCGTATAAAAATCGAGTTTCCAATAATTCACTGGTGTGAAACAAAATGGCGCAGTTGCTAAAGTGTCTGCGGCATTGTTCAACCAGTATTACCCAATTCACACGGGATCGGGCCAGTTCTTGAGCGACTTCTTTCTGTGAGGGTAGATTTCGCTGAAACTTCGTTTCCAGGAGCAGTTAAACCTCCTGAACACGGAACATTTTCCCGTTCGAACCGAAACAGCCTGGCGCGCCAAAGCACCCTCGATAACTAGACTCGCTGAAGACTTGTATCCAAGGGCGGTTTGACCTTTCAAACATGGATATCACATTGGCTTGGCCCGAGAGCACCTGGCAAAAGCGCTTCAGGTACCAGCGCCAAAGAACCCTCCATCACGTGGGTTATTCGACATCCTGATTACAAATATGACGTTTATTCTTGGCGCTGGTGCTAAAGGAGAACACCATACGATCTGCACTCTGCTAAAGCTGAGGCTGGCCCGAAGGGAATCTCTCCTGCTCCCAGGAGTCAGTCCTTAGCAGGAGCGCTAAATGGCGCTGCTCTGACACACCGAATATTCCAGTAGGGCACATTTACACAGATTTTGGTGGGAAAAGTAGTGTCGCCACTTTGACGGCTGGTGGCGTCAAATGGCGCCAGCGCCAAAAACAAATGCGATGTCTGTGATCAGAGTATCGAATTGCCTTTACGAGCAAAGTTTCAACGACAAATACTTTTGAGTTCCTCCTACAGGATCATTTTTGATATCGGATCCTGGTAGATCAGAAGTAAAGCTCTTGTTAACGTCACATAATTTGAAAGAGCCCTCGAAAACTGCGAAGACTAAGCTGGTGTGGGAGCAACCGATGCAGCGGGCAGACGGACATAAGGTCCAGTTTGTGAACGCGCGAATCTACTGCATGAGCAAGAGGAAGCAGAAACCCTTACCCAGTCATCCACTGGATGAATGGTCCACCTTTCACCCGTTTACGCGGTAACCTGTCCTACACAAGTCCCTACACATTCCAAATTTACATATGCGCTGCTCGTTCCGCAAAATTTATGCGTGCTTTTATTACGCATGTTGAGTACATATACACTTCCATATCCCTGAGACGGAGTAGGCGTGGCATTTCGACATGGCATAGAAATGGGTTATTCGTGGATATTTCAGTTCCAGACAACTGTCATCTTGTTCTGTGTGGGACAGAGACTCGACCACAATTGTGTCAGAATGAAAATATCTCTCCAAAAGTACAGCCACCGCCACGTTCAGTTGAGGTACGCAGCCACGCCTACCACATCTCAGGGATTTCGAGATGAAAACTTACGCCAAACCTTACGTCACACCTTCCTCCCGTGTTCCCAACAAGTTTTCCTTGCGAGTTTCAGGATATCGGATATGTGCTCAATTTCTATGCGCTCTCTCCCACAATTCTAGTTTTGGTGGATTACGCAGAATTGACAGCTAACGTTAAACAAACCGCTATTCTCGTGAGCTTTTTGTTTAATTGACTCATAAACACTCCTAATCAAGGTTGAATATCGTATCCACGATAAGGTAAGCGTGGTATCAGATGCTCAAGGAACGATGAGATGCCTAATTTCGTAGCGATACTGACGAGGGTGCACTTTTACAGCGACATATAAACCATCAAAGCGCTCTGCGTTCAAGTAAGAAAGGAGTGTAATGTGGGCGGAAACGAGCCGGCGCGGACTCTAGACGGGCACCTTTAGACTCTGAGTGACTGATCCCTTGTGATTCGCTTCGCCGTGACATCCGAAAACTGGCAGATTGCCAAAATCTTCGTTCTGAGGGAGTTCACTAGGTTGCTCAGTCTGCCGTCCAGATTCAGCGCTTCTGATTTCAAGGAAAAGTTGTAAAAACTTAGGGAACTGACAGCCCGAAAAGCGAAGGAAAAGTTCCTATGAACTACTCTCGAAAATGAAGGATTTTTCAGCTTGACACGGACTTCTACACTGGTTCCCACTTCCTCGAACGTACTTACTGTGTGTCGACTACTGTTGCGTTCTTTTTCGTCCAGTGCGTAGTTGGTGAACAACAATGTGTTATCTTCGCTCCGCCTAACAACGCTAGACTATTGAATGGTTTGCGATTGCACGATCATGGGAGAAAACCTCGGCTCAGGTCGAATTTTTCCAGGAGGGCAGTCAACGTTCTGTTGCCATCTCCTTCCAAAACAGCCATGGTCAGCTGCTTCTGATCGCAATATCTCAATGTTTGTGCACCGAGTAAGTTTTGGGCTTCACCCTACTGACACGCAGTGCAGCAACGCGCAGATTTGCAAATAGGGACGGTCACTTGTGAATGCTCACTGGCGCTCATCATCGTGCATTTCAAGGTGGGTTAGTTGCAACCGAAAGGAATTCTCGCTAACAGAGTTTTCAGATTGTGCAAACGTGCCACAGATCAGGTACGGTTTTTGTCCCCTGCAGCCGCCGCAGCCCCTTTTCCCACCTTTGCACACCACCAGGCTAAATCCTACTAGTTTCATTACCTTATTAGCGGCCGTAAATTACTCCTTACCTTTTCACGTTCACATATAGGGTTGTCTCGGTAGTCTCCGTGTTCCCCCCCCCATCCCCCCTACTGCTCATCTCCAGGTGCCACTCAAGCGACACCAAGGGTGACAAATACCCTACTAACCGGGTATGCTCTGCAGCAAAGGAAAGTATTGTCGCAGTCGCAACATCGCCCTATAATGATGCCGCTACATTGACGATGCCTACCAGGGTACTTGCTCACGATTGGTCGATTGTTACCACCTACCAATCATAGGCATGCCTTCCACGTATCGTGACTCGCCGGCTCTCAATAGGTCATTGGATTATGTTTGACCTGTTCATTGAATTAGCAGTTCAACCGCCGCCCAAGTCCGCCTTTTTATCGGGCAAATTTCGTGACAACCACTCGACCACAGACTGGGAAAGTTGGCGCTGACAGGGTTAAAAGGGGGCGGGGGGCTTAGGGGTGCCATCAAGGTTAATTGGTCCACGTCTCTCATCAAATCGTTTTCTTCCCGAAGACTCCGTCCTAGAAGAGCGTGGGCAAACAGAGTCGCCGTGACCCATATCTGTCGCGCGCTCCCTCCGCTCTTCAAGGAGTTTTGCGCGCCTGTGAGGAGGGTAAACCATTACACCGTTGCGCGCAGTAACCACATTTTGGCATGGCATCGCGATCCTTATGGCAAGGCCGACACCTATTTTATCAAAGGCAGCGCCCGCGTTCATTTGATGTTCCTGCGCCCTCGTAGCTTTGCCGACAATAAAGGATGTACTAATTTCGCAGCTCAAAAATACGAGAGGATGGCGCCACCCGCTTGTGAAGAGGATGCCGCCCCGCCCACCTGGCTGCCATAACTGCTTTGGCTTAGCCTTTAAAGGCTGAGCCCGCTTTCAAGAATAATGAGTTATGGAGCTCATATAATACGTGATCCAGTAGTGAAGAAAA